GAGGTTCCAAGTTTTAAAATTCCAGGTAAGTATTCTCAGAAGTCTCACACAAGACTGAGACTGAAACACAAGAACAATTCTGTTTTACACATAATTTCTTAAAATTAGCAAATGCTTAATTTCAAAGTGCTGTCAGAACTTTACCAAATGGCTATTGAAAACACTTCTATACAATCCTTCTCATCATATTGGCAACGTCATAAAACCTACAGGCTGAAATAATCCTAAATTTAAAAAGTCAAAATAAATTAATCAAAGCATTATTCAGCCATATGCCTTCAGCTTAAGCAAAACTAGGTGATTTCAATTTTATACTAAAAAGTTGTCATCCTTGAATTTTTTCCATAAAAGGAAAACAATCTTCAATAAATAAACCTTTCATGACTTTAGTAATATCAACTAATGTCTTTGTAGTAAGTTATATTAACCACAAAATACTGAGTTATTTCTTATATTAGGAGTGAGTTATTTCTCATGTTAGGAATGTCACATGTCAGTAATTTAGCCAAGGCTGTAAACTATAAAAATTAATCAAATTACTCTAAATTGCCAATAAAGTAAATTCCTCTTTCAGCCTTCGCAGTACAACAGGATTCAAATTCATCAGTCATACTTTTTAATGTGTTAAAATTTTTTCTAAAATTTTTTTCTTCCATCTACACATTTACCTGATAGCCCTCCACCCAGGAAGTACAGACTATAAAACCAATGAAACTAGTACTGAGCCTAAACAACTCACTGTCACGCGCTGTTACTCATTCAAGACAAGTGGGCATGTTCTAAAAGTTTAGAACTCAAAATGACATTCATATCCGGGGGAGGAGGGGTCGAGGGGAGGCAACTTAGAGGGCGGGTCAATAGGTGCAGCAATCCACCATGGGACACGTACACCTATGGAACAAACCTGAACGTTCTGCACATGTACCCCCTTTTGTTTTTAGAAGAAATAAGGAAAAAAAAGGTCACATCCATTTTACCATAATCTTAACAAATAATGTGCTGCAAAAGGTAAAAACATTTGAATTAATATCACAGCCAACAAACGACAATGCCTGGCAAGCAATATGAAATAGCAACTCAAAAACAAAGTAACTCTTGCAATGAAAAACATGCACTGGGCTGGGCGAGGTGACTCACGCCTGTAATCCTAGCACTTTGGGAGACCGAGGCAGGCAGATTGCCTGAGTTCAGGAGTTCGAGAACAGCCTGGGCAACATGGTGAAACTCTGTCTCTACTAAAATACAAAAAATAAGCTGGGTGTGGCAGCGTGCACCTGTAGTCCCAGCTACTCGGGAGGAGGCAGGAGAACTGCTTGAATCCAGGAGGCAGAGGTTGCAGTGAGCCAAGATCATGCGAGCCATTGTACTCCAACCTGAGCGACAGAGCAAGACTCTGTCTCAAAAAAATAAATAAATAATAAAATAAAAACATTCACTGATCAAATTGTCCATCAAAACCCAATTAGAAAAGAACAACAACAACAACAACAAAAAACAATTAGGACAATTTTTAGTTTCCTAAATCCAAAATATTTAGGGGTTATGACACCCGCTGTAGAATTATCAAAACTTCATCTATTACAAGTTCTCATCTACTAACAATAATTTATCCAACCAACCTTTGATGAGCAGCGGCTATGAGCGAAACACTGTTACAGGAGCTGCAGGGGAATAAGCTCAATACTGTCTCTACAGAGTTAATCATTTCAAATACGGATAGGACAAGTAGACACACAGTAGGCTCCAAGTGTCATTAAAAAAAAACAAAATAGGGCCGGGCACAGTGGCTCAAGCCTGTAATCCCAGCACTTTGGGTGGCCAAGGTAGACAGATCAATCCACCTGAGGTCGGGAGTTCGAGACCAGCCTGACCAATGTGGAGAAACCAGGTCTCTACTAAAAACACAAAATTAGCCAGGCGTGGTGACACATGCCTATAATCCCAGCTACTCGGGAGGGTGAGGCAGGAGAACTGCTTGAACTTGGGAGGCGGAGGTTGCAGTGAGCTGAGATCGTACCATTGCACTCCAGCCTGGGCACCAAGAGCAAAACTCCTCCAAAAAAAGAAAAACAAAATGTCACAAAAGTATCAAAAGTGGCCGGGCGCGGTGGCTCACGCCTGTAATCCCAGCACTTTGGGAGGCCGAGGCAGGTGGATCACAAGGTCAGGAGATCGAGACCACGGTGAAACCCCGTCTCTACTAAAAATACAAAAAATTAGCCGGGCGCGGTGGCGGGCGCCTGTAGTCCCAGCTACTCAGGAGGCTGAGGCAGGAGAATGGCGTAAACCCAGGAGGCGGAGCTTGCAGTGAGCCGAGATCGCGCCACTGCACTCCAGCCTGGGCGACAGAGCGAGACTCCGTCTCAAAAAAAAAAAAAAAAGTATCAAAAGTAAACACATTTTTTTAAAGGACCCCTAGCTACAAATTGTAATTTAAGTCAGCATAGGCACAACCATCAATCCTAAATATTACTTGCGAGGCCTTCAAATAGGACTTAAAGTTAGCTGAACTGCCCTGCCAAAATGTCTCAGCTCTGTCTAACCAGAAAAAACTTCCTCCAGGGGTGTATGCAATCCAGTCTCCATGTTTCAATTACCGGCTCTGGGTACAAAGACCAACATGTGATTTCTTAAGGTAAAAATTATTACTATAAAACACGTACTAGGCCTGGTGCGGTGGCTCACGCCTGTAGTCCCAGCACTTTGGAAGGCCGAGGTGGGCGGATCACGAGGTCAGGAGTTCAAGACCAGCCTGGCCAACATGGTGAAACGCCATCTCGACTAAAAATACAAACATTAGCCAGGCGTGCTGGTGAGCGCCTGTAATCCCAGCTGCTTGGGAGGCTGAGGCAGGAGAATCACTTGAGCCCGGGAGGTGGAGGTTGCAGTGAGACAAGATTGCACCATTGCACTCCAGCCTAGGTGACAGAGCAAGAATCTGTCTCAAAAAAAAAAAAAAAAAAAAAAAAGTACTAAAATTAAGTTGGCAAGAATTGATGTGTATTCCTTTCTACATATAAGACATAAATACCTGACACTTGATTCATTCCCTTCATTCTTCAGCCAGCCTCCCAGGACAAGTCTGGCAACGATTCTGACCATCGGGCAAAAGTAATTACCTTTTTCAGTTTATGTTAGGGCAGCCTACGTGGGTTTACATTTGGCTTAATATAATACTACCCTACTTCTCCAATAAGTAAGCATTTATAGAAAAACGGAAACTTTTCAATGTAACCACTTGTACTACCCTAGTCTGAGAAAGACATGACACACCTCACTTCAAGGAAAAAAGCGTCCTTTTTCCTCACAAATATTTCCTCATAAAGTTTATTTTTTAAATGCTTTTAAACCAGATTCTAATTTAACTAATCTAGATTTGCAAAATTATAAAGGAAAAGTCTTGCCAGTTGTTGCTTCGGTTACGTTAATTTCACAATTTATTACACTGCAACTAGGTATTAAATGCAAAGCAGCCTTTGGGGGGCGGGGCGTGTTTAACAAAATGCATCTCAGCACCAGCCTAGAGAAACTTTTCTATGTGAAAACAGAAGAGGGGTTACCAAGGAGAAATTCATTACGCATTTCAGGAGGGCTTTTTCCTCAGAAATAGAGTGAAAAGAAGAAGTCGCTGTGTAAGAAATCTGATACTGACGCTGTGTGACAGAAGTTGGTCCAAAAGTTCATCTTCGGCAATTATGTCTAGATGATCAACTACACATCTTTTGCAACAGGTGACACGAAACTGCATTTCCCAAGCAAGGCAAAGCGATCAAACGAGTTATGACGCGCGTTCCTGCGCTCTTGTGCTTTTATATTCGATTTAACCAAAACAATTTTGAATCGGATGAATTACCAAATTTGGTTGGGTCTTGTTTGGTTTTCTGCTTTGCTTTTTAATCATTTACCAGCAACTGTTGCACGGGCCCATTAGCACTCGAAGAATAAAAACAAACACACAGGACCAGATAAGGTTCCCCTACTAACCCAAAGGATCCGTTTCCTTAACACAATTTTAAAACCACAGCTAGGGGTGTGAAAACAGGCATGTTTTTGTGTGTGTTTGTGTGCCACAATCTGTCCAAATCCTTAACTCCCTTTTAAGGAACAGATATATAATAAAAATCCGAAAGGAACGACATTAGAAATGCAAAGAGGTTTGCAAAACAAGAGGCTTCTTTCATTCCGGAAAACCACACCAAAACAAGAGGAGAAAAATGAAAGCAACGGATATGTGTTTGCCAAAGTTTCAATCTTGCCCGGTGGAGACACTACACGGGCACAAATTCTGAGGAGAAAAAAGAAAAAAAGAGGAGGTTGGCGGAGGAGACAAAGAGCGAGCGAGTGTGGCTTGCAAACTACAACAATGCAATCTCCACTTTTAACAATGCGTCTCTTTCCTCTTACAAATCTAGTTTTTTGCCACTTTGATGTGCCCTCACGTTTCCCCTCTGGGGGTCGGCGGGGTTGGGGGGAGATCGGAACAGGATGCACAGCACAAGAGGGAGCAAGGGGGGTAGGGCAGAGGAGGTGGGGAAGGAGTCTGCAGCAACTGCGCTGGGTGGGTACCTGGAGTGCTGCTGCAGGTTCTATGGCTCCCGAATCTGCTTTCCGTGGAGTAACTGACGTCCTCCTTGCTGGCTTCCGGCTCCTCCGGATAATCGGTCATCGTCCTCCTTCTCCATGTCATCCTCCTAGTTGTCTTCAGACTCCCGGGTCTCCTCGGCGTCGCCTTCGTCCTCCTCTTCCTCCTCCTCTTCCTCCTCGTCCTTGCTGTCGTGGTCATTGTACACCACTTTGTCGCCGACCCTCCGGGCCGCGGTGGTCCCGGCCAAATGATCCGGGCTGCCCCCGCCTCCTCGTCCCCGCCCCCCACTGGCCCGGGCCGCTGGTGCTGGGGGTTGCCGGTGGCTGCGGTTGCCTCTGGCTACTGCTGCCTACCCTGGGCGAGCTACGTCGCGTCTTGGGCGCCACCTCAGCCTGGCCCGGCTGCTAACGCGTTGCCGCGAGCTGAGTCCCCGCGTCCGGACATGGACGGCGGCGGCGGCGGCGGCGGGGCCGGGGCGTAGCGCTCTGCAGCGGGAGCCGCGGGCTGCTTGGTCAGCCTGCCCCGCCGTCCTCTAGTTGGAGCCGAGGCGTTAGGTAGAAGGGAAAGCGGATAGGGAGGGGCGAGCGCAGTGCGGGAGGTGGGGAGCGCCGGGCCCAGGGGGGAGGCCGGAGGGGCCCGGCTGGCAGAAGCGGTTAGAGGGAGAAGGCTCAATCCGAATGTCTGGGGCCACACTGCGAACCGCCCTCAGCCGCCATTTTGTTTCTTCAGTTTACCGGAGCGTGGTCACGTGAGCTGCACCTCCCACGAGCCTGGGAGGACCGAGGTGGCGCGGCGGCCTCTAGGGGGAGCACGAGAGCACTGAGTCGTGAGCGGAGAGCCCGCGGCGCTTGGGCTCGGCGCAGCCCTGCGCGGTGGCGCGGCTGAGAGAGACGCGCAGCTCGCGAAATGCCCGGGGTCTAAGGCCTTCGGAGACCAGTCTCCGCGGAGCGCTGACTGGAGCCCAAAGCCGACCGAACTACCTCCCCGCGTCTCACCTTCCGCGGCTCGGAGAGGAAGGTAGGAAAGCCCCCAAATATCATTCCCCTCCCGCCCCCTAGGGAAACTGAGGCTGAAAGAGCCAGCGAGAGATAGGAAAAAAAAAAAAAAAGTCGGGGAGAGGAGCGGCGCCAGCGACCGAGAGAAATTAGTCGGGTTCGGGGGACAGGGAGACAAGCCTCCAGAATTTAGGAAACTCCAAAGCTTGCAGCTGGAGTCCTGAAATTTACTCAGATGACAGCTGCTCCAGATCTGTGTCTGAGCCACGCCCCCGGATGCCCTGCCCGGAGGGAGGGGGGCCCTAAAACCTGTTGCGCGGAATCCCCACTCGGAAAGCCTCAGTAAACTCCAGAACGCAACTACTGCATGTTCCAATCTCCCGCCACCTTCCCAGTGTCTCAGGTAGGATCTCGGCCACTTCAGCAAGAACTTACCTCTCCTTTGCAGTGGAAAAGACGGAATCTTGCCTAAAACCTACTTCACGGTGTTACATGTTTGTATTATCGGGAAATAACCTTAATTTATTGACCCGACAAGTCACTAGGTTTCAGCTTAGCCCAGGGGACGAATCATGATGACATTTCAGGCGCCCTGAAACCTTATCACAGGGACTCAACCCTGAGTGGTTGAGGTCAGCCCTTCAGATAAGAGAAAGGTTTTATAAACATATATTTATTGAGATAAGTGACAACCAAAAAGTAATTTAAAGAAAAATGGTTGGCTGGGCGCGATAGCTCACACCTGCAGTCCCAGCCCTTTGAGAGGCCAAGGCTGGACGATAGGTTGAGGTCACGAGTTCGAGACCAGCCTGGGCAACATAGCAGGACTTTGCCTCTAGAAGAAATTTGAAAAAGTAGCCGGGCATGGTGGTGTGCACCTGTGGTCCCAGCTATGCGAGAGGGGTAGGGGGAAGGATTGCTTGAGCCTGGGAGGTGGGTGTTGCACAGAGCCATGATTGCACCACTGCACTCCAGCCTGAGTGACAGAGCAAGACCGTGTCTCAAAATTAAAAAAAAAAGAAAGAAAGAAAAATACTTAACAGGATTCTGTACATCAAAGGGCTTATTTCAATCTAGTTAGGAAAATGGAACACATACATGAAATGAAAATTAAACTACAAGGACTAATTGCCAAATAAATGCATTCAATACAATTTGATTGAGCCCTAAGGGTGGCAAATGTGTATATGTCTCCAGGGACTAGGTAAGTAATGTGTCAATAAAGTAGACAAGGTGAAGACCTAGGCAATGGAAATGCCCATATTTTGTTTGAAGAGGGTAGCCAGGCGGGGTGGCTCAGGCCTGTAATCCCAGCACTTTTTAGGAAGCCAGATGGGCGGATCACTTGAGCCCAGAAGTTCGAGATTAGCCTGGCCAACATAGTGAAACCCCATCTCCACTAAAAACACAAAAATTAGCTGGGCATGGTGGCATGTGCCTGTCGTCCTAGCTACTCAGGAGGCTGAGGCAGGAGAATCGCTTGAACCTGGGAGGCAGAGGTTACGGTGAGCCAAGATTGCACCACTGCACTCCAGCCTGGGCAACAGAGTGAGACTCCGTCACCACCACCCCCACCAAAAAAAGAGAAAGATTAAACAAAACAAAACAGATCCCCCACCCCCCCAAAAAAAAAAAAACTTTTCTTTGAATGGACTAGCGTGGTGTTTGCTGTTTTGCTGCTTTATGCTTTAATGAATTTATCTTTCCGTGGCTTCAAGAAGAAAAATGATAAGTCAGTGAATACTGTGTAGATTGAGCATCCCTTATCTAAGATGCTTTGGATGAGAAGTGTTATGGGCTTTCAAATATTTGTATTATACTTACCAGTTGATCATTCCTAATCTGAAAATCTGAAATGCTCCAATGAGCATTTCCTTTGAACAGATGTTGGCACTCAAAAACTTTTAGATCTTGGAGCATTTTGGATTTCAGATTTTCAGAATCAGGGTACTCCACCAGTATCCTTTTATTTATCTATGATTTAATATAGCACTTCTTTCTTCAGAATTACTGAGTGACTCATTCCTGGTATGCTGCTAAATTTTTATTCATTTATTACCTTAATAATAATATTTAACATTTATTGATCACTGATGTGCCCAGGCACTATGGTAGATGCCTTATCATTATGCCTGTAAGTCTTATAGTGGCCTGCAGGCAGGTTTTATTATATCCTCATTTTACATGTGAGGTAAATAAAATGTCTTAGAGACTCAGAGAGCTTGTGTTTTCTCCATGTCCACATATCTTATAAGCAAATGAGCCTATTTAAAGCCAGATCTCTCCTAAAGCCCAGTTCTTGCAGTTCCCTCAGTTTGCCATTGAGGAAACGGGAAAATCAGACTCACTCTCATCAATTGCCTCACACATACTCTAGAATTCCTTTTGAGTGGGAACAGAAATACCATTATATGTATTCCTTTATGTCTAGTCTTAGACATTAATTTGCCTTGTTTCTTTTAAGTTAGTGACCATCTCTGTTGAAGTCTTTAAATCCATTAAAAGTGAATGAAACCTTAGGAGAGTTTTAGGCAGGAGAGGAAGCTCCTCTTCTCTCCAGTTTGGGCTTCGATTGTCCAGAAGTAAAGAAGAGGGATGAGATATTATTTGAGAAAACTCCTTCAAGAACCAGAACTTAGCAAACATTTACACCATTTTGATGGAAATATTTCTAAACTATATTATAAAGTTAGCGGGGTATGGCGGCACATGTCTGTAGTCCTAGCTACTTGGGAGGCTGAGTCAGGAGAATTGCTTGAACCTAGGAGTCTGAGTACGCAGTGAGCCATGATGGTGCCTGGGTGACAAAGTGAGACTCTGTCTCTAAAATAAATTTGTTTTATTCTAAAATAATTCTAGGCAGGGTGCGGTGACTCATGCCTGTAATCCCAGCACTTTGGTAGGCCAAGGTGGGCGGATAACAAAGTCAGGAAAGGTAGAACATATTGGCCAACATGATGAAACTCCATCTCTACTAAAAGTACAAAAATTAGCCGGGCGTGGTGGCACATGCCTGCAGTCCCAGCTATTCTGGAGGCTGAGGCGGGAGAATCGCTTGAACCCGGGAGGCAGAGGTTGCAGTGAGCTGAGATCGCGCCGCTGCACTCCAGCCTGGACAACGAGCAAAATTCTGTCTCAATAAATAAATAAAATAAAATAATTCTAAATACATTCTGCTCATTGTTACATTGATGATCTTAAAGTTGATTGAGATGTAGCTGAAACTGGCTTCCACAGAGTACTCTCACGTGGTTCTGAATTTTGAGGTCATCTTTCTTTGTGTCATGTTTTTTAGATGTCCTTTCTCAGAGTCAATCTAGTTTGAGTAAGACCTGCAGGGATCTCTTGTGAGCACATATATTGAGTTTTAGTGCATAAGCTTTGTTTTAACTTTTCACTGGGTAGATGAAACTGTCAGATAAGCGGCATTATGTCAACCATATAAAGTATTTCCCCCCATTTTTAAATAGAGAAGAAGATACAGAAATGAAAATGAAAAGAAAATTTGGTACTACAGCACAAAGGTCCAGCTTGCAGAATTAATTGACTGTCTGAACAAAGATTATTGGGAAGCAGAGATCTGCAAAATTCTGGAAGAAATGCGTGAAGAAATCCACCGACACATGGATATAACCGAAGGCCTGACCGATAAGGCTCGGGGCAGTAACAAATCCTTTCTGGCGGCAGCTAATGGTGAGAGGGCATTTTCTCATTTTATTTTTGTTAAGTCTGAGCTAAACTGTTGTATGAAATCACTGCAAAATTTGAAAATAGATTAAAATTTTCAAGTACAGTCTTGCATTGCTTAATGATGGGGATACATTCTGAAAAATGTGTCATTTGGCAATGTCATGATTGTGTGAACATCATAGAGTACACTTATACAAACCTAGATGGTAGGGTTTCCTGTACACCTAGGTTATACGGCATAGCCTATTGCTGCTAGGCTGCAAACCTGTACGTCATGTGACTGTACTGAATCCCATAAGCAGTTGTAGCACAACAGTAAGTATTTGTGTATCTAACCATATCTAAACGTTTAAAAAGGTAATACATAAAATCTTATGGGATCACCATCATGTACATGGTTCATGGTTGACCAAAACATTGTGCAGTGCGTGGCTGTGTGTATATTTTACTTTGGTTCTCCGTATTTCATTTTCCCAAGAGAACTTTGTTCATTCCCACGTAAATTAGGGATGCTATACATTTTAGTGTTTTATTTCTGCCTTGGGTCATCACTAATATTCCCCAATATGTTAGTTTGTTTCTTTAATTCAAGTATCTTTTTAAACTTTTTTGGCATTCCAGCTTTTAATTTTTTTGTTGTTGTTTTTGAGACAGAGTCTCTGACTCTCGCCTAGGCTGGAGTGGCATGATCTCAACTCACTGCAAGCTCCGCCTCCCGGATTCAAGCCATTCTCCTGCCTCAGCCTCCTGAGTAGCTGGGACTACAGGCGCCCACCACCACACCCGGCTAATTTTTTGTATTTTTAGTAGATACGGGGTTTCATTGTGTTAGCCAAGATGGTGTCGATCTCCTGACTTCGTCATCCTCTCACCTCGGCCTCCCAAAGTGCTGGGATTACAGGCGTGAGCCACCACGCCCAGCCTCCAACTTTTAATTTTAAGAAATAATATTCTTTTTGAACGTTTTGCCTTTTGCAAAAAATAAAAATTTTAAATTTAGAGTAAATTAGATTTATGCAAAAGTTCCAGAGATAATAGAGGGTTTCCATATATCCTGTACTTGGTTGCCCCTGTTATTAACGTCTTAGTTTAGTGTGGGATATTTGTTACAACTAATGGACCAGTATTGATACACTGTTATTAACTCAAGTCCATACTTCATTCAGATTTCCTTAGTTTTGACCTGATGCCCTTTTTCTGCCTCATCATCCTATACCACATGATATTTAGTCATCATGTTTTCCTCTGGATTGTCGGTTTCTCAGACGTTCCTTGTTTTTGATGGCCTTGACAGTTTGGAGGAGTACTGGTTAGGTATTTTGTAGAAAGCCATCATTATGGGTTTTTCTCATGGTCAGCCTAGGTTTTTGCATTTTGGGGAGGAAGACCACAGAGGTGAAGTGCAGTTCTCATCTTCTTATCAAGAGTGCATGCTGTCCTCGTGACTTATCACTGATGATGTTAACCTTGGTCCTGTGGGTGAGGCAGTGTTTGTCAGGTTTCCCCACATCCTCCCCCATCTCCTCAAACCCCCAATACTGTAAGTCACTGTAAACAGCCACACTTGGTGGGTGGGGAGTTACGTTCTACCTTCTTGAAGGGGCAATATCTACATCAATTATTTGGGATTTTTCTACACAGAAGATTTATTTTTTTCAGACATTTATTTCTATGAGTATAGATTCATGGATATTTACACTTATTGGGTTATAATTGGATATTTATTAGGTTATAATACAATGTCACCTTATTTATTTTGTTACTCAACTCCTCTTTTTATTTTTCTAAGTTATAAATACATATATATCTTAAAAGTTTAAATAGTATAAAAGGGTATGCTGTGAAAAATGAATCTTTCTCCTTCATAATCTCCAATCTGACCTTCCTTGCCCCAGAGGCAATCGTTATTGCTATATTTTTTTTTATCCTGCCAGATGTATTCTGTGCATGTTTAATAAATACTACCTGTGCTTTCCTTTTTTCCTTTTTTTTTTTTTTTTTTGAGATTGAGTCTTGCTCTGTCTCCCAAGCTGGAGTGCAGTGGCGTAGTCTTGGCTCCGCAAACTCTGCCTCCCAAGTTCATGCCATTCTCCTGCCTCAGCCTCCCCAGTAGCTGGGACTACAGGCGCCCGCCACCTCGCCCGGCTAATTTTTTGTATTTTTAGTAAAGATGGGGTTTCACCGTGTTAGCCAGGATGGTCTCGATCTCCTGACCTCGTGATCTGCCCGCCTCGGCCTCCCTCCCAAAGTGCTGGGATTACAGGTGTGAGCCACCGAGCCTGGCCCCTGTGTTTTCTAATATAGCTATCCCTCAGTATTCTCAGGGATTGCTTCCAGAACCCTCTGCAAATAGCAAAATCCGTGGATGCTCAAGTCCTGCAGTCGGCCCTGTGGAACCTGCTGATATGAAAAGGTGACATTCCATATCCAAGGGTTCTGCATCCTGAGAATACTGTATTTTCAATTTGAGGTTGGTTGAATCCAAGGATGCAGACCCTTTGGCCACGGAGGGCCGACTGTAGTGCCTTTTCAGTTTTAACTTGGATAAAATGATTAGGTAAGATTCTGCAAGTACACTTTCAAGTGCCCGGTTCTGAGTTCTGCTCTTCTGCATACATTATCTGCTATACTTATAATCCTATTAATTTTCCCCATTCTCCATTTGCTTAAAAATGGAATGTTTATATTTAATAAAGATACCCAGAGAGCTATATCCAAGCTTGTTCTCACATGTTCTACATCAATATTCCTGTGAATTCATGCATATTTTTGGAGAATGATAGGCTCTCATATATAAATACTGTTGGGCACAAATATATTTTGTCTTCAGAAAAAAGCATTTTTAGTTACTGTGAATTATGTTTATTCATATTTGTTAGTTAGAAGTATTCCTCTTTTAGATCTGTTTAGAAAAATGTGTAATTTTTTTATTAGAAAAGTTTCAGTGTTCAGAAGTCTCTGGGGGATCAGTAATTGCAATAACACAATCTCCATCTTACTCTCCCCTCCCTATAGATCAAATCATAGGATATTGTATTAATTTCAGCCAGCTTACTTTCCCCCTTAATTTCCTTGTATGAGTCATGACATTAAAATAGATAAATCCCTTTTTGCTCTCCTGTGTTTTAGTACAATAACAGAGAACAATCTTCAGACCCCTAAAAGACAATGTGAGATATGATTTTATAAAGTATGTTGAATTAGAAATATTTCCCGGAATAAAAAATAAAAACAAAAACAAACAAAAACAAAAAAGATATTTTCCAGGGTGAGCTTGTCTGTGTATAAAATTATATATGCAGTGTAATCCTAATTAAAGAAGAAAATCAAAACAGGAATGGATAATCAAAAGTGTTAAGTGGTCTGATTTGGGGGAATGTAAAAAACTAAAAATGTTCATATAGGGCAATTGGTAATTGTCATCATGGAGAATTAAGTAAAGTACCATGCAAAAACTGTGCCTGGGTCGTTGGGATACTTAAATTCTCTTCCTCTAAATAACCAACTGGATCAGCTTTTATCATTGACAAATGACCAGTCAGCATAGTAGAATTGTAGTTGGTTTCCTTTTCATATTTTTTGCATTTCCTACAATGAGCATGTTCTATCTCAGTATAATTCATGTAATGTACTTTTAAAAAGTAGTTAAACCTTTTGTAGTAATCGAGAACAACAAAGAGAGCATTGAGCTTTAGGCCACAATATGTTCTTAGAAAGTTAGATGACTAAAATTTGTGTGCTGTGAGATTGCCTTGCAACCTGCAGTTATCCTCTTAGTATTACACGGAGTACATGGAAGTAAGATGAGTTGCACCTTGGATTTAATGGTGAGATCTGGACCCCAAAAATGACATAAATATATTTTTCTTTCTTTCCTTTTTTTTTTTTTTTTTTTTTTTTTGTTAAGGCATAACGTCAACGTGGTACTAGAAGAGGAGGGATTCACAAGAATTGAAAATTGATGGGGAAGAGAAGGGGTAACTAACATTTTTGAGTGCCTACTGTGGGCCAGGTGCTCAGCGAGGTATTTTACAATTCTTTAATCCCCTCAGCATTTTCTTAAGGAGTGTATTGGTCAGTGGATTGAACATTCAGTAGACGAATCCCCATTAAACACAGTCCCCCCCGTTTTTATTTTTCTCTCTGGTACAAAACTTGGCTATGATAGTTTAGGACCACCCAGTCCAGGTAAATACACAAAATAATATTTAATAGTGTTCTGTAACTTGGAGGTTCTTTTTTTTTTTTTTTTTCGTGAGATGGAGTCTGGCTCTGCCGCCAGGCTGGAGTACAGTGGCATGATCTTGGCTCACTGCAGCCTCTGCCTTCCTGGTTCAAGCGATTCTGCCTCAGCCTCTCGAATAGCTGAGACTATAGGCATGCACCACCACACCCAGCTAATTTTTGTATTTTTAGTAGAGAAGGGGTTTCACCATGTTGGCCAGGATGGTCTTGATCTCTTGACCTCATGATTTTTCCACCTACAGCCTCCCAAAGTGCTGGGATTACAGGCGTGATCCACTGCGCCCAGCTAATTTGGAGTTTTGTCAGATGAAAACAATGGAATCTACGGGTGTTCTGATAATAGCCAAGAATAATTTGCAGCATGATAATAAGAATTTCAGAATCGTAGCCTGTCCTGATAACTTGGACTTGATGTTAACCTCTCAAACAAAATACTTCATTTCTAATGTATAGCTCTCTGGTTTTTATATACATGCATGTCTAGGAGAGTTTAATTCTATTTTTGATAGTTAAATTTTTTTCTCCATTTTTCCTCAATATTTTATAAAAAATTTCAAATGTACAGAAAGGTTGAAAGAAGTATACAGTTACCAGCCTGACCAACATGGTGAAACACCGTATCTAGTAAAAATATAAAAATTAGCCAGGCATGGTATTGCAGGCCTGTAATCCCAGCTACTTGGGAGGCTGAGGCAGGAGAATTGCTTGAACCTGGGAGGCAGAGGTTGCAGTGAGCCCAGATCGTGAACTGCACTCCA